TTTGAAACCACTTGAAAAGGAATTTTGAAATTTAATAGGAATTTATGTGATCATCTTATAAAGTGAATTTCAATCACCTGATTTTTGTGTCACTGCGATTTACTAGATAGTTTTACTTTTTTTGCTGGTGCAGATATTATTGGGAACTCCCAAATTCCGACTTACCGTTGCCTTACGGCCAATAGTTATGCCAGAACCGAAACAGCCAGCCAGCCAAGGCAATCTCTGATAACTGTGCTGAGACAAAGCCAAAGTGTCAGAAATTTTATGTGGCTGTTTGTGCTCAGAGTGGGTTCGTGTGCCATAAAAAGCTGGAAAAAACAATATGCTCCGAACCCGACTAACTTAAAAAACTAACCAAGCAAAAGTCAAAGTCTTATCAGCAACAAAGTGCCAGAAAAAAAGGGGGGAGGAACAGCCAAGCAGAAGAGAGTCGAGGGAAATGGGTAGCGAAAACTTCAAGGCGATATGCTGCCGAAGTAAGGCTTTAAAGTTTCCTCCTCCTCCCAGATTGTCTTATTTTCCAGCGTCGAGCTGGCGACACTTTTCCAGTTCAACTGCCGAGGTGTTTGGGCGGCGGAGCAAAAGCAACTGTCATAAATTCAAACACAAATTCGGGTCTTGTTTATGCTGCCATTCGCTTGACGCGGCAACTGGCCTGACACTGATAAACAATACACACCCTGACGAACCTATATCTTCTGGAAATATATATATATGTACCCAAGCTTATATCAGGGCGGCAACAAAAAATGGCTTTTTAAAAAATTACATTAAATGTGTGCGCTTGAGTGGGCAGGAATTTATATTTCGTTGCAGAAGGTCCTTGGCATTCCCTCTGTTCTGCTGTCGCCCATGTGGCGGTCTCATCTATAAGGACCAAGGACTAAGGACCAGAGGCAACACCAAGTGCCGGACAATCAATAGCAGGCGAAACAAATTGCTCGCTGGACTATGCAATTCCAGTCCGAATGAGACGGAGATTTTAAGGCGCACAAGTATTTCATGATAAATTACTTGGCCAAATTCATAAATATAAAACTAATTAGCTAAGAGATAAAAAACAAATGGCTTTCGTTCTGGGTCTCTGGCGTGGGAGGTGACATTATAATATGGAGATGCAAATGGAAGTGAACTAATTAAATAATTACAATTTCTCAGAAGTCTAGCTTAGTCATATCTTAAAAGGCAGAATAAAACAGAATTTTTATTTCAATTTAATAAAATCTTCAAAATAATAAAAAACTAATATTCTTTCATTAAAAACGCATTAATGTAGAGCATGGATTTTTGTGAAATAGTCTGTCAAAATCGTCAGTTTAAAATTCTTAGAAGACTATAAAAGTCATATCTTGAAAGGCGGAATAAAACAGCATCTAAATTTTAATTTAATAAAATCTCCAAAATAATTAAAAAACTCTAATTCCTGCATTAAAAACGCTTTAAATTAAAGCATTGATTTTTTTGAAATAGTCAGTGAAAATCGTCAGTTCAGAAAAAGTAATTCCAGTAATCCCAAAAAAAATGGCAAATTCAATGAAAATCAAGCACCCATAGCATATTTATTGGGGCTCCAATTGTCGCAACTAATTAGTGGCCGCTCGCTTTGAGGCCAAACTTCAAAGCAAATACCCCCGAAAAAAAACAAATATAATTGTCATCATTCTCGGTGGGCCAAAGTTAATTGCAGCCGGCATCAGTCATTGGCCATACGATTGCTGTTGCTATTGATCCCGCTCCGTTGTTGGGCAAAAGTTGTCAAGTGTTCGTTATTGAGTGGCCACCGTATAGTCGGATATATACGTTTTTTTTGTATATCGGAGCCCGTTGCACGTTCATTTGCTGGGCGCATTGTGAGCGGTGAAGTGTTTGCCGGGGCCCAACAAAAGCTGTCAGCGCAGAAACGAGAGCCAAAAAAAAAGCAGGCGATGGAAAGCCAGCAGTTCCAAGATGATGGGGAAAACATTGTGAAAGTGTCGTCTATGCGGCGTTACAATAACAGTGGAGTCAACAATAATAACAACAGCTACAAAGCAACAATGAGCGTGGTATAATGGCAAAAGCTTTTCATAGGACTCCTTCGCATCTCACCGCTCCGCTCGCTCCCCAAAAAAACTGAGTGTGGCATTTTGTCAGTAAATTTCTGGAGCGTTTGATGAGGCACAACACATACGCACATACGACCCAAAAAAAAAAGAATTGGAAATTTATCTTTGATCTTTTTGTTCGGGTATCGCTTGATGGGGAGTGGGGAATAAACAACGAGAAGTAACGAGTTTGTGCCTTGTTAGATCTCCAAATTATATCAAATATGTGGAAGCTGATATGATGGCAGTGTGAAAAAATAAGAGCCTGATATCAGGAAGGAAATCAATTAAAAACGGGAGTACAACTTTAAGGAAATATGAATCACCTTTGAAGCTTTATTCACAATAATTGAATATTAAGCTGCCGTCAAAATTTCCCCTTCTGCACAGACAGGCATCCCTCAAAATATTGTCACAAAAGACTGAAATGTCACAGTTTTGTGGCCTGGGTAACGGCAGGGTCAGAGCATTAGCGATGACCCCGCCCTTTGATGTAACAAATTTTTCGGACACTAAGCGCCTAATTACTTTATTGGCGGCCTTTTGCTCGTGGATGCCACTTGAACCTTTTAGCCCTTTTCACTCGACATGGTTTCAATTATGAGCTCGGGCTTTGTTCCACGAGTGGCGAGTGCCACTCTGCGCCCGCCTATCGGCAACTTAACTTAATTATAAACTGAAATCTTTTCAGTCCCTGTGACGAAAATTGAATTTGGCTCGCCAAATGGCAGGCTCATTTTGTCCTAGCCCTCAAATAGCCGTGATGCGGCATTATCCAGCTCCCCACCTAATAAACATATTGCATTAAGCTAGACGAACGATTTCCTTGAATCACAATTGTGACTCGGGAAAAACAATGTGTGCCATAAATCCATATTAGGGCGAAAATTGCTGGTCATCGCACACGTGGCACCATCGATTGTCAATTTGAATACCGTGGATATCTTTGCTTTGTGGAGGAAATTTTGGTCATGTCAGCAAACAAATTAATGCTTTATATACAGTGTGACCACTTGAGTTCTTATAAAAATATGCTTTCGGATTCAAGCATTTTCAGAGAATTGAATTCGGTGGCCCAATCAATTCGAGTTACATACTGATCAGAAATACATTTGATACTAAGACTTTTTAAAGTTCGATTACCCTTGCAGTTATCATCGCAATCATCGCTTGTCACCTCGAAAATAATCTAAAACAACCTCTTTAATTCGTTTAATTCACCTATAACACCAATAACCAACATTATTATACTAACATAAGCAGCACTTAAATCTCTATACAAAATCTGATTGTAATAGAATCAATTATTCCATATTACATTCAGACCTACCCCAACACTTTTTTGCAGGGCAACTGCAAGTGTTTATGGATATGAGAATGTGAGTGCTCGACATTCATGTTAAGTTAATCAATGTTAAATGAAGCTTTATCTTTTCGCTTTCATTTGTTCCTTTAATTAAAATTAATTAATTCAAAGTTAATTAAGAGACTCTAATTTTGATTTGCTTATTGTAAGCTTGTTCTACTGTAATTACAAGCGTCTTGATTTGCATACTAGTTTCGTATGGCAGACGCCAAGGGGTCAAACCGTTTATTGATAACTTGTTTATAAGTGGTCCAATAATAACCATTTTACATGGCTACTTTGGTATTGGCAATCCAAACCAAATCTCTCTCTAGCTCTCATATTTTTATAATGTCAAAAAGTGCATTGGGCAAAGCGTTTTATTTCCTTTCTTAAATTTCTTATTGTTTCGGTAGATGCCGACAGCTTGATTGTATTGCTTGATTGATTGTAAGATCAAAAATTAATTAATTTGATCTTAGGGATACGACGAGTTATTACTAATGTGATTAGTATAGTAATAAATGGGTTAGGGAAAACTAACTTGAACAAATAATTGTAGTTTTCACTACAAGCTGTCGAACACTATAGTCGAGTGTCTCGACTGTAGAATACCCAATACTTAGCTAGTTCGACAGAGTTAGAGATGTGTAAGCAACAAAGCACCTGCTTGAAATCGCGCCATCTAGCGTAAAATAAGTTATTTGCTCATAAAATGTAAGTGTATGTACCGATTATAAATATTGGTAGATATTACTAAGCCAAACATAAAAGCATTTAAGCTTGTACAAAATCTGTATAGATGTGGGCGGCAGGCCTCTTTTAAGGTTATTTAGGACAATTATGGTTGTTACAGTGGAAGAGACGCTCGGCTGAAGCAAACTTTCCATGCGTAGGAACCCCTAGAATCTGTATGGTTAATGGTTCTTTCAGTCATACAGTCAGTCAGACAGAAAAACATACGGAGTCCGTATGTCCGTATTACGGACGTGACTAGATCGACTCTGATCGTGATCCTAACCAAAAACCAATTTACTTTATAGCTTCGCGTTACATATTTTCTGTCAAACACAATATACCCTTTTACTCTACAACCTAACAACAATTATTATTTACTAGCGTAAAACTTGGTAATATTACACAGCCAAAAATTTCAATAAACCTTTTCTACTTTCCCATGAAATTTGGGTGCTCCAGAGTAAAAGTCCCATTCACGTATGCTCCATCACCTACTAGTTCCGCGGTATAGCTAAAAATACAAAAATATTTGAATTTTTTAATCTGAAAAACTTTGAACTTTAAATAATAAATGAATAAATTCAATATAATATAATTCTTAAATATTTGAAAAATAATTTAAAAGATTATTTTTTCTTTTGAACTTTTATAAATATTTTTCTATGTACTTTTTATTACGAAAGACAGAGACAATAATCAGTTACATGCGAACCATTAATTACAATAGATAATTGTAAAATGAAAGAATACATATGGAATGTAGCCCATACGATTTTTATAAAAAAGCGCAGTCAATGGAAAGAAACGATACTGTCAGGTACTTAAAGCAATTGTGAATTGAATCGCGGCCTAATCTCTTCTCCCTTAATTTTCGCTTAGCTGATATTAAGATAAACAAATGTGGCTATCCTTCAGTACAGCAGCTCTGATTCTGCTCCTCCTATGGGACTTCCAACGCAAACGAAGGCGAGTTGCCACCCTTGCGAGATCGAAAATCTCGGGACCACTTTCGATCCCAATATTGGGAAATGCTGGGCAGGCATTCACTTTGAAGCCGGAAAGTAAGTTGCAAAAGATTGCACACATGATTAAATACACTTTCTAAAATTTTATCATTCGGTACGCTGCAATAGAAAAAACCTGTGAAGGGAAAACGGCTGGGATAGTTTGCTAGGGTGGGCCAAATATATGATTAAATATGAATCTAAAAGCGATCCTCAGTAAATATAAAGACAAACTTGATATATTAGGAATTACCTACACATAAAAATTTGAATTATACATTTATATACCATTTTTGGGGGGTTGTTTGTTCCAAAAGAACACGAAATGATATTGCTTTTGAAACTGCTTATAACTAGACCTCGGATTTTGCATATTTGCATATTTTTATAGGATAAAGATAGATCAATTCCGAAAACACCAAAGTTCGTTTCAATAAAAATATAGTTTAAAATGAATGGCATATTTTATTTTTTTTGCATATTTGCATAAAATGCATATGCATAAAATATGCAAAATATATGCAAAATATGCAAAATATATGCAAAATATATGCAAAATATGCAAAACATATGCAAAATATGCAAATGTGATTAACCAATAAAGAAATAACACTAAAATGTATAATTATAGATGATTTATATATTATTCAAGATAATTGGTATTGCAATATATAACAAGCATTTTCTCTAAATTATTAATTAAGAAACTTTGACGTTTCTCTCCAAAAACCATTTTGTATGCCGAAAAGCTTTTTCTACGTCGCATGAAGTAATTGGTGCAAATTTATATTTACTAATATTTTCACTAGCGACGGGTTCCAGTCCAGTAACATCTTTAGAATTGAGACTTAATATATTGTTAATTTTTAAAATTATATTATAGTCGGGATTTCTTTTAAAATTGCTTCAAATTTATGTTTTAAGTCCATTCCGAGGTCACCAGATATATTATCTATTATGTTTTCTGCTTCCTTGACAAGATTCATTGAAGAAAATAAGAGTAAGCCCTTTGCTTCCAGGGACGTAATTATTTCTCCTAATCTGTTAAAATTTGATTTAATATAAATAAAATCTCGACGTAACGTTGAATTTTTCAGCAGTTCTTTTGCCAGCTTTATGGATTCGGCATCTTCTGAGTTCAGCGTGTCAAGAACCTAAATTAAAAAAATATATATTTGTTAGTACAGTGCTTACCTTTTAGCACTTTATTATCTTACCTCTTCTATACCCTCTATATTATCTGCATAAAATGATGCTGCCTTTAACCACGTGCCCCATCTGGTAATTATTGGTTCTGGTGGTAACTCCTTATTTAATATTTGCTTATATCGTTGGACTCTAAGCGGAGCTTTTACAAAAATTTTTTTTACACATGATATAAACGAATTTGCGACTGGAAATGATGTTCTAACTCTTTCAGCAATTAAATTTATGTTATATGTATAAGATTTGGATAAAAAACTTTTAAATTTTTACCAGCTTTTATCATGTAAGCTGCAGCATCCGTTAACAGTAACAAAACTTTGTTCTCGTTCCCTTTTGGCCACAAAATGCGAATACTATCATTTACAAATCGGGATACTGTTGCATGATTTACTTCTTTTAACTGCTTGCACGACAACACAAATGATTGCTTAGATTCATTTTCGCTTAATGCTCCAACGATCAAATTTGCCACATATCGGCCTTGCTTGTCCGTCGTTTCGTCCACAGAAATCCAGATGCTTTCATCTTTAATACTATCCCGAATTTTTCGAATGGATTCTTCGTAACAAACATCCAAATAATTTTTTCTCAGCGTACTTTCACCTGGGATATGTTGCCCAGTGTACTTATTCAAGAAGTTTTTAAACGTAGTATTACACTCAAAAAAAAAAGAGCCCGAAATCGCCATTAAATCAAGAAATTCGCCATGAATTTCAGTCGATGGCGATTTACCGTATTTTTTAGAAAGGAATTTTCTAAAATTTAGAAAAAATTTCTGAAAAGCAGAAATACTTTTCTAAAATCAAGAAAAATTGCCATAAAATTGCGAAAAATTTCCTTAAATCCAGAAAGTACTTTTCTTGAAAATAGATTTTTTTTCTTAAAATAAGAAAGGACTTTTTTAATTTTCAGAAAATTTTATTTATTTTAATAAAATGTATACATATTTATTTTACTATTTTATTTCCTAAACAAGAATAAAAACAAGAAAGGAAGCTACCTTCGGCCAGCCGAAGCTTATATACCCTTGTAGATAAAAGAATACTCACTCGGTGCAGTTCCAGGGATTCCAGATTCAGCGTTTCGATTTATTTCAATTTTGTTTTTAAGTAGTCAAGAATCAAAACGCCTACTTCCTACAAAGTTACAATGAATTTTTTATATTTGTTTGGGAGCCTTAAGATATAGTGGTCCGATCCGGCTGGCTCCGACATATGTACTACCTGCAATAGAAAGAAGACCTTCGGGAAAGTTTCATCGCGATAGCTTTAAAACTGAGAGACTAGTTCGCATAGAAACGGACAGACGGACAGACGGACAGACGGACAGACGGACATGGCTTGATAGACTCGGCTATTGGTGCTGATCAAGAATATATATACTTTATGTGGTCGGAAACGTCTCCTTCACTGCGTTGCAAACATCTGACTGAAATTATAATACCCTCTACAAGGGTATAAAAAAAGAAAATAAAAAGGATGAAAAGAAAATTATTAATATTTCCTAAACAAAAAAGGAAAACAAAACAAAAAAGATAAAAATAAGATAATAAATATTTCCTAAAGAAAAAAGAGAAAAGAAAACAAAAAAAGATAAAAATTACATTATAAATATTTCCTAAACAAAAAAGAAAAAAGAAAAGAAAACAAAAAAGATAAAAATTATTAATATTAATATTAAGTAGGTATTTAATATATTACCTATTATTAAAATTTACTTACTTACTGCCAAATTATCAACAATACCTGAAATTGAAATTATTCCTGCAATCGAAAATAAAAATTAATATTAGAGAAGGATGGTATTTGCGGCCTGCAATAGTATGCCCTTTGCTTACCATAAATTTTCACACACTTACCAAATTTATATTTAAATTTATTTAAATTGCTTACCTATTAATTGCCTCTTAGAGGGATCGCACTTTAACTTTCTTAAATAGGCTCAACACAAACTTATTACTTGCAATGCTCATCCAAAACTGAGCACAAGAGTTCAAAATGCAGCGCAACGCAAGCAACTCTCTCGCGAGAGACTGCATTTCCAAAACAACAACGCAATAAAAGTTACAGCTACGCACAAGAAAATTCTCGATCATACGCACAAACACACATAAACATATACATACATACGTCAAAAACTGTCGTCGCAACGCGCCGCGGACTAACCCCTTGTCTTCTTCTTTTTCGTTTCGAAGAAAGAGTGAGAAGCATAAAAAGAAATACAAAAAGTTTTTCTTAAATCTATGGTGATTTTCTAATTCTACTTTTCTGTTTTCAAGAAAACATTTTTTTTAATTCAGAAAAATTCTTAAAATTTAGAAAAATTGACCGTATTTTTTATGGCGACTTTCTAGATTATAGGAAGGGCTGAAGTACATTTTTCTTAATTTAATGGCGAAATCGCCATTAATTTAAGAAAATTTTTGGAGAGCAAACTAGAAAAAAACACCATTGATTTAAGAAAAAAATCATTTTTCCAAATTTTAGAAAGGTTTTTCATAAAATTCTGTTTTTTGGTCTTTTTCCTAGATTCAAGAAAACAATTTCTAAAATTCAGAAAATTTTATAAAATTAAGAAAAAATTTCATTTTATGGCGATTTTCTAAAATTTAGGAAAAAAAATTTTTTGAGTGTACTAAGCACATTCCATGGTATGTTAGCCGCAACTAAAGCTGTGCATAAATCCTTTTTGAATACTTTATCGATATTGTTGCTGGAAGTTGCATTATCGTCGGAGGCCTTCCACTTAATATGAAGTGAAGTAGCTAAGTGCTGCTGCAATTGAAATTTTTTTTGGAACGAAATCTAAAATAATAAAACCATTATTAAAACGGGCTTAATTTGGAAAAAAAAGTTACCTTTTTATCACAAATAGTACAGATTATCTCGTTACCATCTATTTTGAAGCACTTTTCGGGAATGCTATCAAACCATTTTTTGATCAAATTGTTCTTCAATTTTTGCGATTTCGGCATTTTAACTATTTCACTTGGTTCACTTCACTTGACAAGATTCTCTTTGGCGATTGATTTTAATCCGAAAAATATGGTTTTATATTGCTTAAACTACAATATTTATCGAGTGCACTTAAATATATATTTATATATTTTGCATATATTTTGCATATATATTGCATATTTTGCATATATTTTGCATATTTTATGCATACATTTTTGCATATTTTTTGCATATATTTTGCATATTTCCGATATGCACTTGAATTTATTATACTTAAAAAATATGAGACCTACCCACAAATTTTGGTAAAAATCGGAGCAAAAATGGACAAATATGCAAAATCCGAGGTCTACTTATAACATACCTTCAATCTAATTTATATAACCTGTTTAGAGATGATCCAATGGCTTGGTAATTACTTCAATCAATATGGAAGAAGCTTTCGTATCTGGATCTTAGGCGAATGCCATATTTTTACAAAGGATTTACAGATGTTTGAGGCCATTCTTAGCAGTAGCACCCTACTCAAAAAGGCTGAGCCTTACCGATATATGATCGACTTCCTTAACGATGGAATTCTTTTAAGCACGGGAAGCAAGTGGGTTGCTCGGCGAAAGGCTATACTTCCAGCCTTTCACTATAAATGCCTGGAGAAATTTTTGGAGATAATGGATAGAAACAGTGGGATTATGGTGGAGAAATTGAGAGAGCTTGCAGATGGGAAAACATCAATAGACCTTTTCAAGTATGTTTCTTTGGAAGCTCTTGATGTGACCACAGGTATGTCTAAAACATCGTCTTCATATTAAGTAAGCCTAATTAAATTTTTTTTTTAAATCTTTATTAGAGACCGCCATGGGTGTCCATGTGAATGCCCAGAACGACCCTAACTGTGCTTATACTAAGGCGCTTAAGAGGTGGGACTATATTAACCATGTTGAATATTTTTCCTTTGTCAGTCTCCTTTTCAGTGTCGTCTATATTGAGTTGAGCCGCATTGGAAGTTTATCTCGGGGTTTCGACTGGCTTTTTCCGCTGGCAGAACCTTTAGTTTATCGGCGACTGCAAAAAGATATACGCATTATGCAGGACTTTACAAACAAGGTCATTCGCGAACGTCGAGCGATTCTGGAGCAGTTAAAGGCAGACGGCTCCTACCGACCGCTGAGTATGTTGACTAAGTCATTAGAAAACTACCCATGATGTATTTTTACCTTCTGGCCTTACTGGACATCCTGCTGCAAGCCACTATCGAGAATAAGCCCCTAAGCGATATGGATATTCGCGAGGAGGTGAACAGCTTCATATTTGCGGGAGATGACACAACCACCAGCGGGGTGTGCCATGCCCTACAAGTCATTTCAAGACATCCCCGAGTGCAGAAGTGTATCTACGAGGAACTATTGTCAGTGCTGGGTCAAGATCGCAACTCTCCAGTGATCCAATCCAAGTTGTTGGAACTAAAATATCTCGAATGCGTGATCAAGGAGACAATGCGTTTGTATCCACCAGTTCCAATACTGGGGAGATACATCCCCAAGGACTTGCAAGTGGGTGATACAACTATTCCCGGCGGCACAAGCATTGTATTGGTGCCGTACTATGTTTTACGAGATCCTAAATACTTTCCTGACCCCCTGACTTTTAAGCCCGAACGCTGGTTAAATGGTAAAGAGGCTTCCCTCGCTGCCTATGCATATATTCCTTTTAGTTCGGGACCCAAGAACTGCATAGGGCAGAAGTACTCCTATCTGCAAATGAAAACATTGATAAGTAAGGTCATACGTCATTACGAACTACTTCCTCTTGGAGAGGAGCCCAATCCTACATATACATTTATATTGAGTTCCTCCTCGGGATTCAATGTTGGCCTCAGGTCTAGAGATATTATAAATGATTAAAGAAAGAAAATTATCAATATGGAAAATGTTGTTTAATAAGTTTCGTTACTAATACATGCATATTTGTAAACCCGTTACTCGTAAAGTAAGGGGACATTACATTCGTGAAAAAGTAAGTAACAGGTAGGAGGAAGTGTATCCGATTTTATAAAGTATCTATATATTTTAAATCACGATCTCTAGCCCAGTAAATCTAGCCATATCCGACCGTCTGTCCGCATTTCTGTCCGTACGACCGCCAAGTTCTCGGTAACTGTAAAAGCTAGAAGGTTTAGAATTCTTATGCAGATTCTTGGGGTTCCTGCGCATCGCACTGTGCCATGCCCACAATTGCCCCTAACGACCCTAAATAGAGTCTGGCGCCCACATATTTCCAGACTTTGTAAAAGTGTAATTTTAATTTTGTTTTGTTTATCACTAGCGATACTTTTCACAGCTTTGCAACTTTCTGTTACAGTTTAAGAGAGACTTTCTCCGCAAGCAAAGAGCAACACAGCTTCCAGTTAACAGTAACAGAAAGCTTTCGGCTGGTAAATTACATGACCTCGTTAACATTACATTCCATTAACAGCTCCATAACTAAGATTTTTATTTTTTGTTATTTTACTAGCCACTCGTACACCCCCAAATATGTTGACGTAGGTCCCTGGGGTCTTGAAACTAAAGCATCCACAGTAAAGCTTGGCAAAGTTCATAACTTGACGCACTGGCAAACACTACATAAGTCAGCAATTATGCAGAACACAATTTTAATAATCATCACTGGGAGTGTTTAATGTATGCAAAAAACATACATTTGGCTTGTGCAAATACATTCCCATATAATTGCAATCTAATGTAAGAGCAACATCACCCGTCCATATCGCCCAATCTGAAGGCCAGACCATAGTCCAGTCCTAATACGAATCAAGGAAGCCAAGGCTCGAGGAGTAGTGGCCAATGGTCCGGCGCCCGTATTTGTAGTCAATATTTGATATTTGCACAGATGTTCAGCTGCCAAATTGAATATGGATTTTGCATAAAATCCACTCACACAATCAAGCTGCCCGAGGAGAGGAGAGGAGGAGGAGGCAGCATAATGATGAGCAAAAAGCCAAAGTAGATAAATACCAAAGTGGACTGACCGGAAACCAAATTGAAAGCAACAACCAACGAAACCAAACCAATCCCGACCCATTGACCTCGGCACAATTGCAGACACGGGTCGAAAAACAATATGTGTTAGGAATCAGGAGAATCAAGAGAAGCAGGAGCATCCAGAACGGACAAAGCCGAAGGCTGAGGCGATGTTCTGGTCACATGTGAGGATGAACATGAATCAATAAATGCACGAAACATTATTTTCCAATCAATTAATTTTCGGGTCACTAGATTTGCCTGTAATACATGCGCTGCACTGCACCCACCCACTCACCCGCTTGACCAATGAACTGTCGGGTAAATCATATGGAATGATTTCGTACACACAGCTCACACAACACAGCCTCATCGCAGCGGCTATTGAGCATAAATGTTTAATCAAATGAAGCATGCACAAATTGGGGTCCGCTCCTGGGCACCGAACCCTCAACCTTTGCCGCCGGCCCTGGATATTCCATTTCATGGTGAGGGCGATGGGAAGTGCGTCCACTGATTTAATAAACATAAAATTTGTCAGTATTGTAAAATTATTTTGTCGCCGCCGGGTAAAATCAAGCAGAGGCCAACAGAAACAATGGCACAACCTTAATGTATTTCCTTTTTTATGTTTTATGGCAAGATTTCTTTTATTCCCTTTTTTTTACTTTGGGTCTGTGCAATTTTCCGATACATTGACTGCGTGGCCTGTTCGTCAGCGCATCTCCATCACTGCTAGCTTCATGACATGGCGTATACGCAATATTCACATATGCAAATTAAGTGCCGATCGGCTGGCGCCAGGCTTTTATTACGACACCGAAATATCATTATTAAAGTGCAAAAAGTTGGCATTTCACAGGCTTATATATAAAATTGCTCCTTATAGAAAACGTATTTTATTTCACTTTTTATTTGTTTAACCAATAATTAAACTATTTTGTAAGGATTCTTATTTACAAACTTAGAATTCGATCGCCTGAAATTACGGTTAAAATATTGACAAAAAAAATATCTCAGAATCCTCATCAATGAGTTCTAAGAATTGTTCCTGGAATATAAAATATTTCCAGAAGTTCAACAAAAATTGAATGTAATAAATTTAAGATGTAAAACACGGTAGGACTAGGTCTTCTGAGGTTATACAAAATTTTGTAGTTTATTTTTATGCCGAATCTATTTGTTTAATTAAACCAAATCTTCTTGTTACTTCAAAACAATCATTAAAATTTATTTTGCAAACCTAATCAGCTTTCGACCGGAATGCCACAACGTCTTGGCCATAAGTAGAATAACACACACAGACTCGGGGGCACCCACACTCGTACATATTCAAAGCAATAGAACCGCAATTCATAAAAGCAAACACATATGAATGTAAAAAATACAACAAGCCAGTTACACGATAATAAAACATATTTTAGAGCGGCCAACAAGGAAAATTGCAAGTGGAGAGAGCAGCAAGAAAATGCTTACGACAGTTGCCTTGCCAACCCTAAAAAGGGGGCGTGGAGGGTGGAAGAGGAAGCACTCAGCCATATACGCATACAAACAGACCGCACACTGTGAAAGATTGTAGGAGAGAAAGAGCGAGAGAGGGAGAGAGAACTACTTATGCTAGTCAGCTAAAGTGCAGGAAAAACTATTGCCCACACACACGCACAAGCACAGTCGTCTATCTCCCTCGCTCCCGCCCAAAGTTCGTATAACATTTATTTGTTTTTGTCGGAAATACTTGGTGCGTATGATAATAAATACTTAATCCTCAACAAAAGAATATTAAAAACAACAATAAATGGAAATGCTAAAAAGCATAAAGAAATGCATAAAAACAAACGTTGAGGGGCGGAGGGAAAAGCTAGGATGTGTGCGTGTGTGTGTGCAGGATAACAAAAGGCTCTTTTGAAATGTAAAATGAACTTGGTTGCTTGCTTTTCATGCTCCTCAAACATGCATGCATATAAAATTAAACATAAAAACAAACGCTTTGCCCCGGAGCAACTGAGACGCAAGCGGTGACTTCCAAAAGGACGACAGACATTCAGCCAGGACTCGCCAATTAAATTAACCTGAAGAATCCGCCACTAACGCGCCCCAAAATATGCTAAATTTACATCCCCGGCACAGGGAAAGTCATTAAAATAGGCGGATAACAATGGTGGGCAAACAGAAAGAGAGAGAGAGGAATTATAACAACAATAATCATACGCCCCGTTGCACATCGACGCAACGCAAATCTATTACAGATAGCGACGGCTTTCAGGACGATTTCTCGTTTAGTTTTATAATTACCATTTTATGCGGTTTATATTTACACATAGACACAGAGCTCTGTTCTGTTCTGTGAGTTTTTACCAGCGTTTCAGCAAATATAAACATTTTGCCGCAACGATAAGCGAAAACTTTTCGGTGCGTCCTTCCTCCCCGAAGGATCCTGGTGCGTGTGTATGGGCGCATTATTATAGAAATGTTTGGAAAAAACTTTGCATTGCCATCGGGGCTGGAAAAGTGGAGGAGTCGGAGGCAATCTAAAGCCGAAACACGCTGCCACTGCCGAAAAGTTGGCTATGTAAAACTTTAATTACAACTACGAGTATTTGGTGAGTTTTCTCCAATCTCCCCAGCGATAAATGAAAACTTTGCCTATTTACATGTGTAGACATTAGATAATAGATAATAACATATTTGCCGGGAATGCTTGCCTGGCTGACAGAGAGCAATTACTTGTAAATATTACTAGCTAAATAGCTGTAGATCAAAGGCAAGCTGCTCATATACATATTCGCCTGTTTGTTTGTTTGTTTATTTCGCTTGTGCGCCATATCGTAGGTATCTCTCGACTTGACTCTTGACACAAGTGCCAAGAGATGGCGCACGATGTAGCGGCATTTAATTAATTTTGTGGAAATCATTAACAGAAAATGGGCAAATATGAGAATTATGTGTGGGCTGTCCCCCATTAGACACTGTCTATTAATTCGGGAAAATTAACTCGCATTCCTGTCGCAACCATAAATCACTTATTGTTTGGTAGCTAGGATTGTCCTCACTGTTTTTTGTTTTTCTTTTATTTTCTTCTGTTCTCCGCTCTCCATCTTTCCTAATTAATTCAACAAAACTTACAGTCCAACTTTTTGGCATCTTATAAATTTTAAAATGCTTAACTGCTACCCTCTCTGTCCCTGTCCCTGTCTCGGCTCAGCCACCTCACTCTTAATGGCTTGTTGCTAATCGAATTTCATGGCATTTCTCGGGCTTTCCTTGGCCTCTGTCAGTGTCCGTTTCCCGGCAGTCCTCTTCCATGACAGTTTAGCCGAGGAGTAGTTTACATATTTTTCCCCATCCTCCACTTGGAAATCCATTTAGCGTAACTCAACACTTGAGCATATTCCTTGGCTCTGGCTCTCGCCTTTCTTGCGAGGTTTTTTCTATCATTTCCTAATATAAACTTACAGTCAGCTGACAGCTTTTTTAATTTATTTCATTAAAAATTTGCGCACAGCGCAAAACTTTTTCAATTCGCATGCAAAGCGACAGCTATTCAGTTTCAGCTAGCTGATCTCCTGCAGTTGATTAGTTGTGCATTTTGGGCTGATTAAATCGCATTAACACGCTTAACCCGCACTCAACGTCCGGCACTTCCTGGGGTTAAGGACTTCAAAAGCACAAAAACTCATCGAGATTATTGAAAACCGAGAGTGGTTCCGAATGTGTGTGAACGAGGAAAATAAACAAGCTGGAGAGGAATCTGCACACTTGACTTTTCCCACAATTCCCGCAGGCAGAACCCCCTCAACCCCCTTTTTTTCTGCCAACTCAATTAAATCTTATCACATAAAGGGCGGTCGGGGTAAGAGGCAGGGAAAATCCCCCATCTGCTTCTG